GCATCAGGCACCTTTAACCCACTGAGGCATCTTGCTGGTTGAGCTTTCAAACTGTAATTTTTAGACCTGGAGGCGAGTGAGAATGGCCCCCACAGGCTCATATATTTGAATGCTTGGTCCCCAGTTAGTGGAACTGTATGGGATGGATCGAGAGGTTTGGCCTTGCAGGAGGAGGCCTGTTATGGGGACAGGCTTTGAAGTTTTAAAAGTCCATGCTATTCCCAGTTAGCTCTCTCTCTGCTTTGTGCTTGTGGATCAGGTTGTGAGCTCTCAGCCGTGTTTACAGCGTCATACCTGCCTGCTGCCACGATCTGCTCCATGATGGTCATGAACCTCTGAAACCTTAATCCCCAGTCAACTGTTTCTTCTATAAGTTGCCTTAGTCATGGTATCTTAGCACCACAATGGAAAAGTAACTAAGGCAGACCTGTAGGAACAAATATATTTTGCATTTTGATCCAGTATACACATCTAGAAAATTCTCACCTGTGCAAATTCGCGCACGCGCGCGCGCGCGCACACACACACACACACACACACACACATATGTGCCTGTGACACATAGGAGCTCCACAACACAAGACTGAATGATCTGAGGCTGCCTCCAGCTCTGATGATATCCACTCTATTCTACTGAATATTTATCTTATTATTTTTTAAACAGACCTGGTGAAAAGAGGGCTGAGGGTGTAGTTCAGTGGTAAGAACACTTCTCAGCATGTATAAGGCGTCAGTTCTGGTCTCTGGCTGGAGACCATTCAAATAAATGGCCAAGTAAGTAAGCAGCAAATAAGTGAAAAACAAGCCTGATGAATGGACAAGCCACTGAAGGACGCGGCCCCTGCCCTGCCATTGAGTCCTCCTTTGTAAAGATGGGAGGTCCTGGAGCCCCGAGAAGAGCAACATTAACTCGGGTCACGCGGCCAGGACTGGCACACAGCAGGCTGTGCTGGGGACTGCCTGCTGTGTGCACATGGTCCAGCCCTCATTCTCAGAACCCATGTGGTCCTCCATGCCCTGCCCTCCTTATGTCTGGGTCACTTTGGGGCAAGAGAGACACTGACCATCACCTTGCCTTCCTCTCCTATGGTGTCCCAGACAGCCTGGCTCCAGCCTCCCTGCCTTGGCCCATGCATTCCAGCCTTGGGGCAGGTCCCAGATCCTTTGGCCTCTTTCAGGATGCGATTTGGCTGAAAAGTCTCCTTGAATGCAGGTCCATACTTGCTTTACTCCCTCCAGCTGGGCTGGATGTGCCTGCCGTGTGAGCCCTGGGCCCTTCCTCTGTCGGGACCCCTTTCTTCCCTGACCCGTTGGCGTCTAGAGTGGAGTATGCCTGGAGACAGAGCCCAGCTGCTTTTGTTTGCCTGCAACAAAGTCTGGCTTTGCTGTGCTGCTGTGTGAAGCCCTTTGTGAAGCCCCTATGAGATCCTGCTGTGTGCTGGGCCCTGTGGCAGGTGCAGGGGCTGCTGTGGCCAATAAAATAGGTGAAGTTCGGACTGGGGAGATGTTCAGTTGGCAGCTTACCTACATTCTGTTCCCCCAACCCACTTTAGGAGGCCAGGCAAGATAGCCTGCACTTGCAGTGCCAGTGCTAGGGCCAGAGGGAGGTAGAGGGTCACTGGCCAGGTGTCCTAACCTATGTGGCAAGTTCCTGTCTGGTAAGAGCCCTTGCCTCATAAATAAATAAATAAATAAATAAATAAATAAATAAATAAATACAGTGCCTGGAGAACAACACCCAAGGTTGTCTTCTAGCTTACACACACACACTTTCCCTCTCCCTTTCCCTCTCTCTCTCTCTCTCTCTCTCTCTCTCTCTCTGTCTGTGTGTGTGTGTGTGTACCTAGTCTCAAAGTAAAAAGGAAATATCTCTGTATAGTTGTAGAATGTGTTTGTATATTAATCTGTTACTGCAGAAGGGTAAAAAACATTAAAAAAAATTTTTTATGGCCAAGCAGGGTTTCTCTATGTAACTGCCCTGGCTGTCCTGGAAGTCACTCTGTAAACCAAGCTGGCCTCAAACTCACAGAGATCCTCCTGCCTCTGCCTCCCGAGAGATGGGACTAAAGGTGTGCGCCACCACCACCCGGCTGTCTTTAGTTTTTCTGTAGGTAAAGCATATTCCCTCCTTTTCAGTTCAGATGTGCCTATGTCTTCCCCTGCCTAATTACTATGGCTAAGTCAGAGGGTTTTTTTTTAACTTCTCCTGTCATCTTTATTTCCAGATCTGTTCATCAGTGCCCACAAAGACTGCCCCAGGCCACAGGGCACAGCCCTCCTGAATCGGGATCTGCCCTCCAGCCCTCATCCACCTGTCATGGCTCCAGACCGTGTTGCTGGCAAGGTAACCGGCCACTCATCACCCTCCTCCTGCCTGCCCTGGCTCCAGCTGCTCTTTTATCTCTCTATGGCAAGCAGAGGCCATTCTTGGCTCCCTTCTTCCTTGCCAACCCCAGTTTCTTCCTGGGTAATAGGGGACCCAAGGGCTTGGCATTCAGCTGGATGGGTGCCAGACTTATTTAGAAAACACAATACCATCCCAGAGGTCTTCCTGCCCAAATTAACTCAGCCTTGCAGACAGTAGGTTCCACTGCCAGCCCAGTTCTGCTTAGTAACTAACAACAGCTTCTCAAGAGTAAAATCAGGGCTGGGCGGTGGTGACTCACGCCTTTAATCCCAGCACTTGGAAGGCAGAAGCAGGTGGATCTCTATGAGTTCGAGACCAGCCTGGTCTACAAGAGCTAGTTCCAGGACAGACTCCAAAGCTTCAGAGAAACCCTGTCTCAAAAAACAAACAAAAAAGATTTCTTTATTTTTAATTTATGTGTATGAGTTTTTGCCTTCATGTGTCTATGGTCACAGCTTGTATGCAGTACCTGTGGAGGCCAGAAAAGGGCATTGGATCCCCTGAGACTAGAGATGATTGTGAGCTACCTTGTGGGTGCTGGGAAACTGAACCCAGGTCCTCTGGGAAAACAACAAATGCTCTCAACTACTGAGCCATCTCTCTAGCCTCAAGATGCTATTTTCTATTTTTTGTTTCATCATTATTATTTGATTTTTTTTTTTTTTGAGACAGGGTTTCACTATGTTGTGCTGCCTGGCCTGGAACTCACAGAGTTCCCTAGTGCTGGGATTAGAGGCATGTGCCGCTACACCAGCTAGGTCATTGGTTTTTGCTTTTGTTTTGTAAAGTCCCTAGTCTCCAGGTATCAGGAAACTGTAAAAGTACACTTGGTCTAGGTCAGACCTATTACCTGCACTGATTCCCTCTCCTCCCAAGGCCACTGTGCCCCACCTCCTTTTCTGAGTGCTAGGGGACAGCAGGTGACCTTGATCTCTCCAAGGGTCACAAGGTGGAACCACCCTGCTCTGCAGGGGCTTAGGGACTTGGCTGTGTGCTCAACGTCCCCAGCCCTGACTGGTCCCCTTTCTCCCCTTGCTTCAGGACAAGCAGATGGATTTCTGTTGGGATCCGTGGCAGGTCAGTGTGCTTGCTCTCCCGCAGTGCAGCCAGCCCAGCTGATGCCACCATCCCTGCTTCCTCTGCTGTGCCCACCCAGGCTCACAGTCCTGCCAGCCCAGGGAAGGAAGTCTTGTGTGAATGGATAGGATCTCCCTACCTTTCTGTACTTAGTCCCTAGCCACCAAGGATAAGTGGGTGGTAACAATGGTCTGGGGGGGTGAGGAGACAATGTCCTCTGGCTGGCTGCCCTTCCCACCACCCCTTCTTTTTCTACAGAGGTGCTTCCAGACCACCAACGGCTACATATCCGACTCTAGAGCCTGCCCCAGCAACTACAGTGTGGCTGCCCTGGCCACCTCATCCCTTGTGGGTAGGTCCACACAGTCCCCCTCCAGCCCTTAAGGATTGTAGGCTCCTCCCAGGACACGTGCCAAGGGGAGGCAAAGGATCATAGTCATGCTGGCTTTAACGTTTCCTAATTGCCAGACTTCAGGCTGGGTTCTTCCCTCAGGAGTTGACTTGTTGGGTTTTCAGGCCCTGGAGATGCCTCAGAGGGGGATGTGTGTGCAGTTTTTGGGTGTCTGACTGCGTGGTCTCCCACGTCACCTTGGGTCTTGTTCCCTAGAAGCAGAGCCTGAGGTGGGGACTGTGCCCCCCTGGGGAATGCTCTTGGGAGGTCCCTGGGGAGTGAAGGATCAGGGGAGGCTGAGGATTTTGCTCAGTGAAGACTCCGTTACAGTTCCCTCCCTGCCTCAACCCCCACTGGGAGTTCTGTAGCATGGTAGCCTGAAGGATCGATGGCGCTTGAAGACATGTTTGGGCATCAGTCCTCAGTTGTCCATGATGAGGACTGTGCCTCCTTGAGGGAAGAGGTGGCACCCAAAGCTATGATAGTTCTCTGGAGCAGGTGTAGGAGTGTGCCAGGAGCAGCTCACTGAGATGGCTAGGAGAAGAGCACGCAGGCGGAGAAGGGACTCAAGCTGCTGTACTTGGCCGTCGACACCCCTCAGCCAACAACCAGGCCACTTGGCCCACCAGGCTCCTCTCACAGCTCCCCGCACTGCAGTTTCCACCACACCACACCCTTCCAGGTTCCCACAGGACCTGGCCGCCTCCCTCCGCCCCTGTCTCTGCAGCTCCCTCCACCTGAAACGCCTGCCCCCCACACCCTCCCCCCAGATCCTGAGAAACGCCACCTCTCCAAACGCACTCCGCAGTCCAGCACCCACTTGGGGGAGCAGGTCTCCCCTCTTTCTCATTTCCATTGTTCCCACATCCCTGGTGCCTCGTTCCTGTGGATGGCTCATTTGTCCTTGGGACTCACATTCTCCGGGGCCTCATGTCTGCATGGCTTTAGGGACACTGGGGATGCCCAGATCTGACCCTGCCTCAGCTAGTGGAGATGCAGAGCTGTCCCTGCCACCTCCTCTCCATCGCCCTCTACACACAGCCAGTCAAGTCATACACTCCCTCAGCCCTTGTCCTTCTCCGCTGCCCAGCCCTGGCCTGCCTCTTGCTGGGTTCCCGCAATCGCCCAGAATTGTTCCCATCTCCACCCTTGAGCTTTGATCTTTCAATTATGTTGCTGTTCCTAGTAACAGATGTAATCTCCCTCTTCCCTGGTCCATGTCTGCCGGGGCTCTCCATCACTGTGTAGACAACATGGAGTTGTCATTGTGGCTCTAGCCCTAATCTGTCCGGCCCCTGTGGGGCTCCAGCCTCTTGTCCCTGTGTGCCACCCTGTGTGCTGGTGTTATGTCTGCTTTCCCATGCCTCCGACCCCATCTGTGAAACAGCCTGCTCTCCCATCACTGTAAGACTTCAGAGCGGAATTCTAGGCCACTTCCTCCAGGAAGCCCTCCCTGAGTGCTCCACACCAGAGTCTCACTCTGAAGAGCTGGGAGCACAGGGGAAACTCCTTCAGAACTGTCAGTTCGTGAGTGGAGGGTGCTGGGTCCAAGAGGAACTGAGGGTCACAGCCAGTCTGAGAAAGCAGTGGCCAGTTGGGAACCCTGATCCAGATTCCATGAGACATTGGGAGGGGTGGGGCACACACCTGGGAACGGCACGGGAGTGAAGTAGGGCCATAGGCTGGGGAGGGTGCGGCACAGGGCGTGGGTCCCGTGAGGAAAAGCAGCCCCTGGTCATGGCTGCGGGGAGCCAACAGGTGCAGGCCTATAGATCAGGGGCGGTTGGGATACAGGACATGATGGTCTGAGGTTTTGGCGTCCTGTGCACTGCGGCTTGCGTGGGGATGGTCACCTATCGCCATCTGTGACCTCACAGGGGTGGTACAGAGCATGAAGGACCACATCACAAAGCCCACAGCCATGGCTCGCGGCCGAGTGGCTCACCTCATCGAGTGGAAAGGTTGGAGCGCCCAGCAGTCAGGCTGGGAGCTGTCCCCAGCCGAGGACGACCATTACTGCTGTCTCCCTGATGAGCTGCGTGAGGCCCGCTTTGCTGCAGGTGAGCGGGGGAGCAGGGAGGGAAACCTAGTGGGGCCGGCAGGGGTGAAGCACAGGATGGGACACTAGGTAGCTTCCTTCATTACCTGGGCAGAAAGGGACAGTCCAGAGAGGCCTGTGTAGACATGGAGTGCTCCTTCCCACCCGCAGGCTCACTGAGCCTGATCTTGCTGTCCCCTAGGTGTCGCGGAGCAGTTTGCTATCACGGAGGCCACTCTGAGTGCCTGGTCCTCCCTGGATGACGAAGAAATGCAGCCAGAGGACAGTACCCAGGGCGCCTTCCAGCTTCAAGGTACAGCTGGCGATACCACGGCAGGGTGGGCAGGGGAGCACTGAGCTAGTGCCCTGGTTGCTCAGGCGGCTCCTTTCGCCATCCCCCCTTCTCCACGGCTTAGCTTCTTCCTCAGTAACCTGGGACTGGCAGTCCTGGCCTGCACATTCCCAGGAAGTGCCTTGAGCAAAAAGGAAAAGTCTGCCTGTGGTGTGGCTTGAGTTGAGGCCAGGTGCATTGTGGGTGCTGCTTTCCCAAACCTGAGTTCTGGTGAAGCTTGCCTTGACATACCTCACTTGATTCTCCCGATGACCAGGAGGGGAGGGGGACAGAGGACCAGAAGGATCATCCATTGTCCCAATACTCACATCCTGCTCTTGACTGCTCTGCTCCCTTTCATGGGGAGACAACTGAGCTCAGAGAGGTTTGGAGACCTGCCTGGGATCACACAGCTTAGCAGTGACCTACAGGTCTCCCGACCCTTGCCTGGCCTCCCACACCCAGGAATGCAGGATGCAGGATTCCATCTCTAACCTGTATCCCCTTTTTTGATATTCTAGACCTGGAGAGCGTCTACCTTCAGGACAGCCTCCTGAGTGGCCCTTCACAGGATGACAGCCTCCTAGCCTGCTCCCCTGGCCTCACCCTCGATGACGGCTGGCCCTCACCGGAGGAACCCCCTAGCCCCACCCAGCAGCATCGGCAGCGACTGCCAGGGGCTCAGGGGCCTGGTGGCGGGGCCCATTTACATGGTTCCCTGCCATCAGTGGACAGTGGCTCTCTCTCAGAAGAGGAGGATGAAGTGTTCTATAACTGAGGCCAGCCGGTGTCTGCACACCTTGCTGGGAGCCCAGCTGTACCACGGCATCGGTCCAGTACTGGGCATCTCTTGACTCCTGGGGACAAACACAAGGTGGAGTGTGGCTGGGGTGGTGGCCCTCATTCTTGTGGACCACTCAGCGCCTCTGTGGACCTGCCCTCAACAGCGGGAGCCCCTGCTTTGTGTGGCCCCTCCAGGACCTCTGCCCTCAGCCTGCTCCTGGGCTCTAAGCAGACACCAGGGCAACAGGCCCCCAGGAGGACACCATGGAAGGATTGGGAGGG